ATGGTGCGAGCTATTACATCGGTAAATGGGGACATGGTAGAGATCAAGATAGATTGTACATTTACCCTGCACTTCAAGCACATGCTCATCATTGGACGCTGGAACCAAGTGGCCCAAAATGGGAATGTGATGGCAATTGGTTGGACAAGGTTGAAATGTCTTCTGGTGATTTCTGGAAAGTCTTTGTTCGTTAAGATCCTGGTCCACCGATTACTCACAGCTGGACAAACGTATTTATCTTATCTTCGATACAAACAAAATTAACAAATTTAAGTTAAATAAAGGACCTTAAGGACCTTTTAGACAGTTATCAGCTTCCATAGAACGTCAAAAAACACAGGAAATAACACCATCGTTAGCAAATCGAAAATGAAACCCGATCGAAAATCCAATAAACAATGTGTAGCTTAACAATAAAATAGAACAAAACATATCTGTTTTATGGACAAATTAAATGTTCGTCCTAGAGGGATTTGCTAAAAACTCTAAATAAACCAACGTTTATATAACTGGCTGCTGGATCCAGGTTTGTCAAGATGGGAATTAATGTGATGACTTGTACGTTGGGGTGTCTTCTGGTGATTTCTCTAAAAAATTTCTCTAAATTTCTCTTTGTTCGTTAAGGCCTTGGTAAACCCATTAGTTATAACTGGACAAACGTATTTATGCAACCTTCAAAACATACAAAATAACAAATTTAAGTTAGATTAAGTTTTTCAATCGGAAATTTTGTTTTGCATGTGGATCGTTTGCAAGAATAGAAAATGGCAACTCCAGATTTTCAGAAGCTTGCAGTCAGTGGGGATTGTGGGGAGTTGGTAAATGACGCCTTTCTCGCGTATCCAGTGAAAAAAGACTTTTTGATCATGTTGCATATGTACCAGTCTTGTATCACTGGGTGCTGAGTCCANATCCTGGTCCACTGATCACTTGTAGCTGGACAAACGTTTTTATCTAATCTTCGATACATACAAAAATAACAATTTTAAGTTAAATAGAGTTGTGCGATCAGAAATTTTATTTTGCGTTTAAGGACCTTTTAGATAGTTATCAGCTTCCATAGAACGTCTATAAACCCGGGAAATAACACCATCGTTAGCAAATAGAAATTGAAAATCCAATAAACGATGTGTAGCTTAACAACAAAATAAAACAAAACAATTGTTTTATGGGCAAATTAAATCTTCATCCTAGAGGGATTTGCTAGAAACTCTAAATAAACCAACTTTAGCTGAGCAGCGAGCTCGCAACATCGCTGCCTCGATTTTTACAACAATCAATGGTCCTAGACCGCCTGCCCGCGTCACTTAATAAAACTTAGGAATTCGTCTTATAACTTGAGAGGTAATTACATTCTTAATCTCCCTAAGGTATACACCACTAAGTACGGCCTTAAATAATGGCGATATTTTGGATGCAAATTATGGAACAGTCTCCCGGACTTGAGCAGATCCTCGACCAGCTATAAAACGTTTAGGACTGCATTACGTGACGTGGACACGAGCAGCCATGTGTGAACTAATGTTAACAATTTTTTCCTTTTCATATCTTTTACTTGTAAACAGGTCTTGTCTGTACAATTTATATGCATTTTATATCCTTTTATAATATAAATAGAACCCTGACCGCGCTCTGATTGGTCAAAAACCCATGTTTTATCATAGTATAAAACATAGAAATTCAATTGCGTCAGTTTGTCGATCTCTGTGCTTTGTTGTTTCTACTCGCAGCGGGTAAAATCTATATCATAAAACAAATGAAGAAGCCTACGCCGTGTATTACACTGTGATAAAACACGACAGACATTTCTCGAGTGTTCTCAAATGTCTGTCGTGTTTTATCACTGTGTAATACACGGCTTAGGCTTCTTCATTGTTATATACATTTTTAGATATTTTATGGTAGTTATGTGATCTTTGTTAGTTTAGTTTAATATTTATTCCTAAATGTGCATATTTACTTTGTTATTTTG